TATAAAAAAAATTAAAAAACTGTATAATTGGCCAGGAATGTCAAAAGCAGTAGCAGATTATGTACAGAAGTGTCAATCATGTCAAAAGAATAAAACTTCAAACAAGCATACAAAGCAACCAATGGTTATCACTTCCACAGCAGATAAACCATTTCAAAAAATATTTATGGACATAGTAGGACCACTTCCTATTACACACAAAGGGAATAAATATGTACTTACAATGCAAGATGATTTAACAAAATTTAGCATTGCAACGCCTATGGTATGCCATGAAGCGAATACTGTAGCGCATAGTTTTGTGAACTCATTTGTTTGTATACATGGAATTCCAGAATCAATAGTATCGGACCAAGGCACAGAGTTTCTAAGTAAAATTTTTTCAGAAGTATGTAAACTATTAAAAATTTCCAAGTTCAACACAACACCATATAGACCACAGAGTAATGGAGCATTAGAACGAAGCCATTCAACATTAGGGAATTATTTGCGACATTATGTCAACAAAGATTTAGCGAATTGGGATGAATTTATTCCATATGCAATGTATGTATAATATAATACAACAGAGCATGACGCGTCAAAATTCCTACCGTATGAACTACTTTATGGATTTCCAGGGAAAATACCTACGTCATTAAAGAAGACACCCGAACCAAGGTATAATTATGAAATTAAGCAAAAATTTCAACAATCTTATGAAATTGCAAAACAACGTATAGTAAATTCAAAAGAAAATACAAAAGGACGATATGATAATAAAGTTAATCCACTGAGATTAAAAATAAATGACAAAGTTTGGCTTATGGGAAAACAAAAAAAAAATAAGTTAGCACAGAAATGGCTAGGACCATATGTAATAGCAGAAATAAATAGTAATGAAAATGTAACAATTGTCAGAGGACAAAAATTAGTTAAAGTACATAAAAATCTATTAAAACTATGTAATCAGTAAAAGAAGTATAAATATTAAATCAGCGATATCTTGTTATTACAGGATACTGATAATACAACCAATCATGGCAACAAATTTAACAGGAAATTATCAAATACAAAAAATTGAATCACCATCAGGAATTTTTTTTAATCATTTGACGAATGTAAAAACAACAAATTCAAAATGGAAATTGTCAGTTTATGTGAATTTAACCACGTATGATAATAATTTTGACCAAATAAAGAAATTTCAAAAGAAACGGTACAACATTGTTTAAAGATAACAAAAAACACTGAAATTGTTCCAATAGAACACATTGTAATTTGGTCGTATTTATGCGAGCAATTTAATACAACAACGACGTCATATATCCATGATATAGAGAAAACGCGACAACAGATAAATTATGCAGTTAATAGAAGTGAACGTTACAGAAGAGGATTGATAAACGGAATTGGTAGATTATCAAAAACATTGTTTGGAATATGTTCAGATAAAGACTATGATTTTTTTGATAAGAAAATAAACGAAATAACCGAAAAACAAATTAGGGTAATTCATAATATGCAACAACTCAAATTGTCAAATAAAAATCAATTACAAAAAAATATAGTATAATAAAAATCAATAGGTATGGTACAGTTTTAAAGTTTACAATACAGTATACACACATATAAATACTAAACAAATAAACACCAATATCTTATAAAAATAAATTATTGAGTTTGATGTCTTATAATACTGTCCAGTACAAAATTTGAAGACAATAATTTTTAAATTGATTTTGTGGTTTAAACGATATTTCAATATGTACAAATATACTTACTGTTCTATGATCATAGCCTATATTTTTTAAACAAGAATATGCTTTCCATACATCTGACATTATAATAGAACAAGGTAATATTTCTTTTTCGATAATCGGAATTAAAGTTTCTCTATCACGTTTTTCTACAACAAAAAATCTTCGTGGAGTGAGCTGAGCAAGGTGCGTATTGTGCCAACGGAGAAACTTCTTTAATTCTTGCTTGCAAACCACTGTATTTGCCTGACATGTTAGAGGCATTGTCGTATGATTGTCCCCTGCAATTTTTAATATCCAACCCATGTTCATGTATTGCTTTAAGTACTGTGTCAGCGATTTCTTTGCTTTTGTGTCCAATGTTAGGAATAAACTGTATGAATCTTTCTTCAGGAGTTCCATTCAAAACATATCTATATATCAAAGATAATTGGTCATTATGACTTATGTCAGGTGTGGAATCTACAACAATTGAAAAGTATTTGGCATCTTTAACTTCATTAATTATTGTTTTCATTATTTTGTTCTTCATGATATGCACAACTTCATAATAAGTAGTAGATGAAAGATATGAAACTTTACCTCTTCCTAAATTCCCATACTGTGCTATATGTTTCGATAAAAAAGGATCAAACTGAGCTCTAATTCTCTCATGAAATTTCCGTTATGTAGTGATCCAAAGCATTCATTATGTCCTCTCATTGGTAATCCTCTAGATGTCAGTGATACTACTATTGCAACAACTCTAGTTAAGATATTTTGCAAATATTGTCGTGATCACGATATTGTGTATGCAACGAGTAAAAATTTAAACGATAGACATAGAGCCGATAAAGTGTTAGAAAATCGTGCTTGGGAAAGATTTAAAGCAAAAGATACTCCTAGATAAGAGGAATTTGTCGCGTACGCAGTAACAAACGCAATGAAAGCTAAAAGAAAAATAGGTATGGGTTGTAAACGGAAACGTGTTATAAAAACAAATGGTATACTAGCAGCGAAGAAAAAAGAATCTTAAAGAAAAAGAATGGTGGTAAAAGGTTGATTTTAGCACCAAGATAGTCAGGAGGTGTAATCCCCTTAATACCTATATTTGCTGGATTTTCAGCACTAGGTAGTTTGATGTCTGGAGGTGTTAGTGTGTATAATGCAGTTCAAAATTCAAAAAGAAAAAAAGGTAGTGGTTTGAAATCAAACAAGAATAAGTTTAAAAAAAAAAACTGATGATCACGCTACCTGACAGACCGCTTTCGTCCCAAGATATTATAAAATATGTCGGAAAGTTGAAAATCAATCATTTCCGTGGAGTCTTTTCACGTGATAACTTACCTAAAAACCCGCATGCTATTGAATGTGGCATATTAAACTTGGACTATTCTTCAGGCGACGGAAATTATTGGGTAGCGTTTTATAAAAATAAGGAAACGGAAACGTGTTATAAAAACAAATGGTATACTAGCAGCGAAGAAAAAAGAATCTTAAAGAAAAAGAATGGTGGTAAAAGGTTGATTTTAGCACCAAGATAGTCAGGAGGTGTAATCCCCTTAATACCTATATTTGCTGGATTTTCAGCACTAGGTAGTTTGATGTCTGGAGGTGTTAGTGTGTATAATGCAGTTCAAAATTCAAAAAGAAAAAAAGGTAGTGGTTTGAAATCAAACAAGAATAAGTTTAAAAAAAAAAACTGATGATCACGCTACCTGACAGACCGCTTTCGTCCCAAGATATTATAAAATATGTCGGAAAGTTGAAAATCAATCATTTCCGTGGAGTCTTTTCACGTGATAACTTACCTAAAAACCCGCATGCTATTGAATGTGGCATATTAAACTTGGACTATTCTTCAGGCGACGGAAATTATTGGGTAGCGTTTTATAAAAATAAGGAAACGGAAACGTGTTATAAAAACAAATGGTATACTAGCAGCGAAGAAAAAAGAATCTTAAAGAAAAAGAATGGTGGTAAAAGGTTGATTTTAGCACCAAGATAGTCAGGAGGTGTAATCCCCTTAATACCTATATTTGCTGGATTTTCAGCACTAGGTAGTTTGATGTCTGGAGGTGTTAGTGTGTATAATGCAGTTCAAAATTCAAAAAGAAAAAAAGGTAGTGGTTTGAAATCAAACAAGAATAAGTTTAAAAAAAAAACTGATGATCACGCTACCTGACAGACCGCTTTCGTCCCAAGATATTATAAAATATGTCGGAAAGTTGAAAATCAATCATTTCCGTGGAGTCTTTTCACGTGATAACTTACCTAAAAACCCGCATGCTATTGAATGTGGCATATTAAACTTGGACTATTCTTCAGGCGACGGAAATTATTGGGTAGCGTTTTATAAAAATAAGGACAAATTTGTATATTCTGATAGCTTTGGTGATTTACCACCACCAATTGAATTACAACATTATTTCAGACAGTTCAAAATAGTATACAATTATTCTAACTATCAAGATTTCAATACGTTCATTTGTGGTCATTTATGCCTTGAATTTTTACAATGTATGAATCTATTACATTAAGTTTGACTAGGAATATTTTCCATCTCTAAACGTTTACGAGGATTCGGAAATAGCTTTGTTGTGTTTAAAAACATGTAATTTATTTCCAAACATAAATTCAACTAATAACCGAGATAAACGTAATTCCATCATTAGGTCATGCACAGAAATTAAAAACGTTTATATTTATTTTGGAAGAATGATGGTATGAAATTGAAGATATTGTGACTGCTCGGACATATTGCTCATGTTACCGAGAGTCATGTGGCCGTCCGGAGCCTTTTCGCACGGTCGCCAACCACGGACCGAGACCCAAAAGTCGGAGTACCGTGGATTTTTTGTTAACCATAAAACGTATATATATAACTATATCAGTTTAAAGAATAACTGGATACATTGGGATCAGTAATATATGATGGGTGACCATCGGTGAAATAATAAAAAAAACTCAATTTGGGGAAAAATTATATTTTAAATTTATTTTAATAATTAATTAAGTTGATGCCGAGAAAGCCAACTGACATAAAACTCGGTCAGAATAAATAGAATTATAAACGACACATAAATAATAATAATAATAATCCAACAAATAACAAATAATAATCATAATAATAATAATTCCACACTCCACTGTTCCGACATAGCGGATTTCCGGCGGGTGAAATTATTAACAAACAGTAAACACATACAAACGAGATACCGGCCACGGTGAAATAATATTATATTATGGTTTCAAAAACATTACCGTACGCATGATGTTTTCATGTGCCGCCCGTTGGCGCACCAGCAAAAACGGTGTCTACTCGACGGTCATGTTGCTGGGACGGGAAAAAATGGAGTGGTGGCTTTTGCTGGTGTCGGCCAGAACTTTTCGATCTCGGGTGGCACGGAGAAAACGACAGGTGAGGGAGGGGGTTACGTACGTAGAGCTAACATGAGTGGCCGGTACTCTGAGCCGTGGGTACTAGGAGGGGAGCGTGTGTGCGACTGCCGGTACGGTGGTGCAGTATTGGATCGGCGAAGACTGAGGCGCGCGGAATAGTATGCCTTATCCATCTCGTCGCATGTCGCGCTCATACTGTACCTGCTAGTACAACTATAAATTATAATAACATTGGTTTGCGTTGGACGTCACAGAAACCCCCCCCATGAAAGTTCGATACATCGGAGAGAGCCTTCATGGATGACGATGTTTGAACGCAAACTTAAATGATAATCGGTAATAATAATTGACGGGAATTTCATACGAGAGATGTGTTCGATCCGTTCTTATGATACCTGAGTGCTAACAATGACTTCAGCCTGCTGCAATGGTGAACTGATCGGTTCGTGGAACGGACGGAGGTGAACAACATTGTAGGTCCCAATAGTTCTGTTGGTGTTTGGATCTGCCAGAGTATATGCATTGTCTTGACGGCGGCTGGTGATCACGTAGGGCCCTTCGTATAGCAAGAAGAATTTCTGGATACATTTGTCGACGGATGACCTTAGGCGATGCGTTTTCACCAATACGCGGGTACCGATGACAAATGATACGGGTACGCCCTGCTTGTCATGGCGGTGTTTTCTTCTTTCGGAATGGGTGAGCTGGATTACTCGGGCCATGGTTAGTTTAGTTCTCTGTGCCAGAGGAAGACGAAGAGGGAACGAAACGACATTTCCGAATGGGTTATATTGTTCGACGGAGAGAAAAAGCTCTTGTGGGGTGTGGCCTGTTGACTCATGGACTGTGTTGTTTAACACCCATTCAATGTACGATACGTACCGTGGCCACTCGGTATGGTTTTCGTGGCAGTACGCCCGGAACATGCGTCCGAGTTCTCTCATTACTCTCTCAGCTGGATTGGACTGGGGATGATACACATACGTCATTGTAGGCGGTACACCGAGTGCTAACAACCATTTCTGCCACACGTTGCTCCGAAACTGTACACCGTGATCGGATACGATGCATCGGGGTTTACCGTATGTGGATGTATAATCATCAATCATGCGGTTGGTTACCTTCACTGTGGTTACCTTCACTGGGTATAGACGGACAAATCGGGAGAAGTTATCTAGTACGACAAAAATATATCGGACTTGGTTCCAACCCGGAGGGAGAGGGCCATATAGATCGACTAATACTCGCCCGAGTGGGACATCGGCCAGAACAGATCGCATTTCCCCTTCTATACGGACCGTGGACGCTTTAGTCTTCTGACACAACAAACAACTTCGGACTACTTCTCGGATACGTGACTGAAAGCTTTTGCAAAAAAAAAGAAATCACGTATTTCGAGTATGCACTTCTTTGGTCTGACATGGCCAAAATGACGATGCACCTGAGTTATCAGTTCGTCTACCCTGTTGATGGGAATGTATACCAGCCATTGATCAGTAGACTTGTGTCGTCGATAAAACAGTACCCCCTCTACTAAGCTATAGTGTTCGAGATACGGGGTCTGCTGACTCTGGGGGTCTTTCAGCAATTGTTGGAGTCTATCGAGGTGAGGGTCCTCTCTCTGGGACAAGCAAATTGATTTGAAAGACGATATTTGACGCTCAAACTCGGCTTGGACCTTTTTTGACGTGATTGTTAAAACACATGGAAAACTGGATATCACCTTCTCCGCCTCCTCTCGTCCGGCAGGACTTCTGGATAGAGCATCAATAACATTATCTGAACCGGGGATGTGTTTTACTTGTAGATTGAACTCTTGAAGGTGTAACGTCCATCGAGTTAATCGAGCGTTTCGCAGGCGACATTGGAATAAGAAAGTTAAGGCTTGATGGTCAGTCAGGCTGGGTATCCCAGGATGAATACCCGAAACTTCTCACAAGCGAAGACTATAGATAACAATTCCAATTCTGTTATGGAGTAATTACGCTCAGCGGTGTTTAAAGTGCGGCTAGCAAAAGATATTGTACGTAGGTCTCCGCTTGGAGAGATTTGAAACAGCTCAGCACCGAGTCCAACTTTACTCGCATCAGTCTGAAGGTAAAACCTCTGGTCGAAATGTGGGTGTGACAGATATTGTTCTGTGAATGATTCACGGACCGCATTAAATAGCTTCAGCTCTTCATACCCAAAACGCCAAGTACAATCTTTTTTGATGAGTTCAATAAGCAGGCTTATAATTGAGGCATGGTGACACGAAAATTTCCGATAGAAATTACAAAAACCGATAAATGATTGTAGCTCTTTTTTATTCCGAGGCTGGGGAAACTCACGAATGGCTTGAAGCTTTGACGGATCCATTGACATCCCAAGTGGAGTCACAATGTGTCCAAGGAACTTGATCTTTTGTCGGAGAAACTCACACTTGGACAATTTCAATGTCATTCCTGACATGGATATTCTCTTAAACAAAGCAGCGAGGCGTACAAGATGATCGTCAAACGAGGTGGATGAGATTAAAACGTCGTCGACATATATGTGCAGATCGTCTAGGTTTCTGTCTGTCCCATTGATTTTAATGTTTAGCACAGCCTCTAATGCTTTGCCGAACGCTGTATTCGAAATGTTTAGACCGAAAGGTACGACGCAGAACTGATAGGTCCGCCCTTCAAAAACTTAACGTACTGTGGGATGTAACGGCACTTGCCAATATCCGGCACTAAAATCCAGACTGGAGAAAATTGTTTTCCCCCCGAACCAAGCTAGAAGTTCGTCAAGTGGAGGGGACGTATCGCGCATCGGTAAAATTAACCGATTCACGCGTCGGGCATCGAGACATAAACGAACGGAACCATCCGCTTTCGCTACACATACAATCGGGTTGCAGTAAGGGAAGGAACATCGTTCGACAACCCCCCATGAAAGCATTCGTTGGAGTTCCTTTTCGACAGCAGGTCTACGGGAAAATGGTATTGGATATGGTTTCACTTTAAAAGGTACATCTTCTGATACTTCAAAACAGCAACTATATAACTTGTTTAGCCCAGGTCGATCGTCAAAGATACTATGATGTTGGTCCAGTAGACTTATGAGTATTGATCGTTCCTTATCCGGTACTTCGTGGAAATTTACTATACACTCGGACCATGGTTTTGAAAGTGGATCGGTAACTGGTTGTGTATGATCGACACAGTCCAATGGGTGAGACGGAACGGATGTAGGGGTCGAGACTTGCTTTACGAAAGAAATGTCAGATATGCAGTGTTCCATTGCAGTGGGCATGAGTCGATCTAGTTCTTGATGTACGATGATCTGGGTTATCTGGGTAGAGTTAATATCTCCGATCTCTGGTCGGAATGGTGAAACTGTGTTCCATTTTGGGAACTCGACCTGGTGGGTTACATAATTCAGTACGACACCGTACTGGGTAAGCCAGTCATCACCGAGAATCATTTCAGTGGACAGATGGGGAATAACCAAGAAAATCCCCGGAGCCTCATGTCCGAACACACTTAGTGGTACATACACTTGCCGGGTGATCTTCTTACTTCGACCTTGGATGGCGGTGGAAATAGTGACCCCCGTTACGGGCAGCGTAGACAGTTTCGATGCGGTGTTAGTTTGACTCTTCAGGGTCGCAAAAAATTGTTCGGAGACCGCAGATATGGACGCACCAGAATCCAACAGTGCGGACGTACTTATTCCGAAAATGTCGACGCGAAGCTCAGGACGTTTCACAGTGCGTTCAGGAAAATCAGTGGGGGATGAAAATGGTTGGTTGCAGGCAGATGGGTTTTGGCTCTCGTCACGTGCTGCAATCACTGGCGAGAAGCTTCCTCGTTTCCCGACACATTTAATTGGTTAATGGGCGGGGCGGCTGTAGCCGCAGGCTGATTCCTCGGTTGTTGACCTCGATTGTACCCTCCGCGATATCCTTGTCTATTGTCCTGTGCCCTCCGTTCGTTTTGTTGATTGGGTTGAATATTGTTGTGATGTGGTCGGTGGTCCTCCTGACGTGGTTCACAGAACGATGTGGACTCTTCGAACTCAGTCAAAACAGCTAACAATTCATTTGTATCACGTAGTCCACGTCCTCGTAGGGCCATACTAAGGGGAATCGGATAGTGTTGTATTATGGTCGAAACCAAATCAATTGGGTCAATGGGTGGTGACAGATACTTTGCCCCGGAAATCCATTGCATGGCGTGTGTTGCGAGACCATCGTATCTCGTGTATTGGAATGGCCGAAACACCTCGTTGCGAGTCTTACGTTGAGTCGCAGCGGACCAAAATCGTTGACGGAATAATATGCGGAAATCATCGTAGCTCGGAGGGGTGGGGATTAGTGAGTCGTACCACAGACGAGCGTTTCCACTAAGCCTACGTTGTGCAGAAATCAATTGTTGGTCTGCTGACATTGGGACATTCTCAAAATATACATCTAGCTGGCGGATAAAACGTTCTGGATGGATGGAACGGGTTTGTCCTGAGAATTCCGACACAGCATCGTTGAGGCGTTCTTGAGACCCAAAAAATGACGAATGACCCTGACCTGTGGTATTCAACATTGTACCCAAGATAATTATTACCTTTATAAAATCTCCCAAAGCCTCATATATTGCATCGCATACTTCTGGAATAAACTTTGAAATAGCTGCTCTTGAAACTCGAAAAGATTGTTGTAAATTTCGATAACTGTTACCTGTAGCTAAATATGATAAAGTAACTTGTAACTTTACACGAGCAGGTATGGCTTCTCGCATTATGGTGTTTGAACGTTGTATCTTTTGGTGTACTTTATTTAATAAAATTTCAAATTTTGTTGGATCCATTCTCATACAATTAGTAAACTCATGAGTGTCTTCTTCCGCTAATTCTTTGAGAAGTAAATTTGATACTCCATGAGAATTCCTTCTATCCAACCAACTTCGTACCCATATTCGTTTTTTTTCATTTTCAACACCATGTAATATTTCTAAGAACTGCTCGCATAATAACTGTAGTACATTCTTTGTACATTTTTTTACCAACATTTTTCTTTTGTCCATTTTTATTATAGATTTATACTCAAAGTTTTAAAATGAAAAGAAAATAACTTTCAAAAGAGGATTCTTGAAAACTAAACAAAACTAGCAAAAGTATTAATAGATAACTATAATTTTAGGTAAATATAGTTTACTTATTAACTATACTAATTCACTGGCTCTTATTTCCCCTTTGAAATGTGAACACGAACTCTCTACTAAATTATTGAACTTTTAGTGACTTACTCTAGTGACTCGGCCGAGCACTAATCTCGTGTAAACCCCCCTTTATCCATCTCGTCGCATGTCGCGCTCATACTGTACCTGCTAGTACAACTATAAATTATAATAACATTGGTTTGCGTTGGACGTCACAATATTAACAACAAAATTAAGAAAGAATTATTTCACTTCAATAATGAATGCAGAACACAGCTAACATTCAACGTATCTATTGATCCTGTCAATTTTAGAACATGTATTAAATGCAGTGCTCGAATTGGGGGGGACGCGGGTGGACGGAGTCCGCTTTCATTTTTTCATAGATTTCGGCGTCCCCCTTCATTTAATTAAGCGAGGAACGCTAAAAACGAGTCCCCCCTGGGGATGTTTACTTTTGAATGGTGTATTTGGATTTTGTTTTCGTTTATTTCTATCTTCTATAGCAAACTGCAATGTAATGGTTATTTTTATTTTTTAATTTTTTCCCAGAAAACGGTTATCGTTGACGACAATCGCGGACTAAGATAATAATCATGGCTAAATAACTATATTATATTTTGTATGGTAAATAGCTATATATTTAGCCATGGATATAAGATTATAACCACGGTTTACGATATACTTATATTATAAACCGTGATTATAACGATTGCTATCGAGCTGATATCAGCTTCATTGGTTATTGTTTTTCATAGCATACCGAATGATTATTACCACCGCGGTGGTTTTGTTCACTACCACGTACCACGATTAAAGATAACATGTCTACCTTATCTATTATCAGATTATCTACATTCTCATCGCAAGTGTGATCATTTTGAAGTGATTTCGGTTGTAATTTATTTACAATATTTATTAATTTTATTTAACCTTTTGTTTAATTTTCGAGTCGTTAAAAATTAACACAATGAGTGAAAAAATAAAAACATATGATTTCTTTAAAAAAAAACAAAACATTATTGTTTATAAATGTCTCACCTTATAAACATTTTTTTTTAAATATTAGATGATTTGAATTGCCAAGACGATCAGTCTCTTCCTTTGGCTGCACCTCAAGAAGGTAATACTATAGTACCTAAGTATTTACAAATTAAAGTATTCTATCTCATAAATTATTTCCATGTTAAAAGACCATTTTTTGTCATTATTTATAAATTATCATAAATATGATCATGTTTTTATTCTGTTGTAATTTATAATGTTACATATCAAAAAAATAAGTAAATGTATATTAATTTTTTTCTAGGAAAAGAAAAGGCCTCAGTTGATTTGGAAGAAATTAGTTAAAATTTAGGTATTTAGTTTCTTTTAAAATATAATAAAATTAGATTTGTTAGTTATAAGTTATTAATATAATAACATTTATTTTATATTTCATTTTGATATTAGATGTGCGCCTAATGACTAATATGTTCTAATAATATGTGTTTAATGTGATAGTTAAATATTTTGTGTTTAACTTATACAAATAGGGTTGTTTTGTTATTGTTGTTGTTACACTTCTTTATTATTAACTATATGTGGTAATTATTGTACATTTAACTTGTATTTTTGACAATGATGTAGCAAAGCTGATAACTGTGTCTAAATTATAATGTTTTTTTTTTTTACTTAATCTTTACATAAATATAAAACCTAATATAGTAATGTATATATATGTGTAAAGGTGAATGTTTGTGTTTAATGTAATAATGTTATTACTAACTAATTTGTGTTTAATACCTTATTTAAGTACCTATTAAATGTGTGTTTTGTTAACAAGTTACTTGTTGAATATATCTATAATGATCAAGTTTTTTATTAATTTAATAATGAAATAAAATGTTTTATTGATTTTAGTTAATTTTATATAAGTATTTAATTCCCTTAAAGAAATATAATATTTTTGTATGTTGCATTTAAAATTAGCTATTTAAAATAAAATAACTTTTGAACATAAATTATGGCAAATATGAATCTAACTTAAATCCTAATGATCCTAAAACAAGTACAAATTCAATTTTTCTAATATAAAATCATTGTAAATATATTCTTGGTTATTCAATGTTTCTTTGCTTTTAATTAAATAGAACTTAATAATATGATTTTTATTAAACATATTGTCGAGCAAAATGGAGGAATAAAATAGGTTACACATAGAAACATTTTTTTTTTAAATTTTTTCTTTACAAATATAGATATAAAAGATAATGTCCTCAAAACTAGTACTACTCCTACTACTACTGGTATTATTCATCAGCCAACTAACTGTATTAGTGACAGTGAATCTCCTGAATGCTGGGATATAAAACAAATAAAATATTTTTGTGAAGAATATCCTTGGATATATTTTAAAAATAAAAAATTGGGTTGTAAATTATATGTAAAAGTGAATTTAAATATTGAAAAGAAACCAGAGTCTCATGTTCGTTTATCATCGGAATGGACTCAATGTAATATTGCTCCATCTGGGGATACCATTGCCAAACAACAAACTATTTTAAATAAGAAAATTTCGAAACATAAAAGTAGTCAGCCCCATATTACTGCCGAAAGTTAGTTTATGTGCAGTTAATTGATCTAAACTACTATAGGTACATTTATATTTTCCGTATACCATTATTAATTTCCGATTTTCTTTTTACTAAATATATTTGTAGAATGTGTTACCCACTAACCTAAATCAAATCGATAAATATGTACTCTACGAAAACATTTTAATTACCTATATAAATAATAAATAATGTTATATAATTATATAAATTACATTAATACGAGTATATAATAACTATCGAAAATACTTACCTATTTTAAATGTGAAAATTAAAAATATTGGAAAATTAAATTGGAACTTACTTGTTAGTTGTCTTATACAACTTTTTATAAGCCATCTGTTTTAAAATTTTTTTTTTATTTGCCATTATGTCTGGGCGTTTATAAAAACAAAATTAAAATATATATGGATAATGTATAATATGATGACAACGCACGACACTACGACAGGAGAGTTTGTCAATGGAATGATAAAATAGTAGGTAGGTAATAATTTCGAAATAATAATAATAATATTCATGCTAACAAATAAGATACAGATAATAATTATCTTATCAATAATAATATTACCGTGCCTTCCAAAACTCAGAGTTGTTCAATCAAAATGATAATATGCATTCCTAAACTCATCAATTGAAAAATGTTTTATTGTTGGATCTTGTTCCAAAATTCAGCGTTACCATCTAGATTTCAATCGGATCCAACATAAAATTTTAATGATTTTTCTGATTGAAATTTATTATCAGTAATCAGTATTATGATAACTCAATATTTTTTTAGTCGATCTGGAATTCTCGATTATAATTTGTTTTATTTTTGACTTATGTAGTTTCGTTGTTAATTAACAAGTAAAAACACGTATTAACTATAAATTTACTATTGATTAATAGTGAACTAAATAATTAATTTAATTATCTCATATCTGCAATGCTTAAATTCATTGGATTCGTTGAATACGAAGGTGTTGGGCGTATATGGTCTGCAGATAAAATTAAAATACTGTGCAATGTAGAAAATGGCAAGTATACTTTTTCATGTTCTTACATCAATAAATATATTTATGGATTCTAATTTATATAGCTTAATATTTTATTAGATGATGGTATCCAACAAATTATGATGGATGTAAATGTTTTAATTAGCAATGGGATCGATGTTGAAGAAAGTCAACCAGTAAGATGTACTAATTCACAAAACATAGTTCAGGACGATGAACCTTCTTTTGTCGACAACACTAAATGTAAATTAAAATCCCTAATATCACTTAGGTATAAGCACTTCAAATCTCACAGTTTATTATATATCATAACAAAAACCTTTTTTCTAACTCCGTGTAAAAATTAGCTAAGTAAAAAAAAGAAGAAAAAAGATCAAAAAAAAAATCATTGTATAACCAAAACATTTTTCGCTTCATATAGAATTTATAAAACCAGTAATTTCAAAGCACTATAAAGATGCGATATCATAAATAAATGCTAAGTAAACTGAATTTAAGTATATTTAGTCTGTTTCGATAATTTATTTACTTGGCGAGGAAATGTTTTACTTCATACGATACAATATAAGAACCGTGGCGCTGGATGAATAATTAGACAATAAGACATTATAAATTAAAAATATTACAGTGAACATTTCTATACTAATCAAAATAATACTCTACAACCAATAATAACACTGTATACTCTATATTAATACTAATATTTCCTCGCCAAGTAAATAAATTATCGAAACAGACTAAATATACTTAAATTAAGTTTACTTAGCATTTATTTATGATATCACATCTTTATAGTGCTTTGAAATTACTGGTTTTATAAATTCTATATGAAGCGAAAAATGTTTTGGTTATACAATGATTTTTTTTTGATTTTTTTTTTTACTTAGCTAATTTTTACACGGAGTTAGACGGAGGGTTTTTTTATGATATCAGTATCACACTATCATGTTCCGTAATTCAACGCAATCTAGATATTTCGGTATCCAACAACCATCAAACAGGGTTTCTATCATTGTTGAATTTTGGAAGTACCCCTTATTTATAGTGGTTGCGGGCTGCGGGGGCTGCGGGATAGAGTTTTAAAGTATAAATAACTTATTACGTAGTGTAGTGGAGAGGGACGCCGCTGTGTACGACGATTAAATTCACAGTGCCGTTAGGAGCAGCACTTGACGGCGCAAAATTTACATTTCAATGCGTTTAAATATGTTTACGCAGTCTGAGTAAGACTCGCTTGATTTAGGTTTTACAGTATAAATACCCATAGTAAAAT